CCTGATTAATATAGCGAACTATCCTATACTTCATATGTTTTTATTGATCATTTATACTTAGAACCACAGCTCTGCTATATACAACACGTACTGTGATGTAAAAGATGTCGGGCAAGAATGACTCAGTAGAATAGACAGAAATGAATGACTTCCAGTAGGATGAATGTCATATGTGCATTAATTGATCCTATGAGTAATAATCAATGTTGTAATCAATCGATCTATATTATTGACACAATATTTGGTTATTTCGATTACATAACTGAAGGATTACACAAATAAACATCTAAGGCTAAAGTCTAAGAAATTTTAAATAAATTAATTTAAACTAGTACACGTAAGCTACTAGTAGGTTCATTTTTAAATACCTTTCATTTAGGTTATGACTTGACTAGTGAAAAATGTTGATCAATGATAGTTACAAGTTTAAATATTCCCTCAAGTATGAGGTTGCATCAAACAATTCGGTCATAATAGTTCTTTGAACAGACGACAAAATAACAGCTCTCATTCGATTAATCTAATTATCCAGCTCAGAGAACGAGACACCTTCAACATCCTCATTCTAAGTTATAAATATTCTTCACTATCACATAAACTATTTAACAAAGTTCTGGTTTTTAACTAGAAATTGGTCGTTGATTATATTTTGGACTGTGAACCGATACTGATAGTTTAACCCCTACGATAATCATTGGTTTCGTTCACCACTACAAATATATTTTTATGACAAATACCGGCTAGCATGAATACTATATTCACGGTTTTCAGGCGACTACTTTTAACTACCTAACTATAAAACTTAGTACACATCATATCTTGTCACTTAAATTTGTGACAAAATTATCGATTCGTTGGATTGAATTAAATGATTAAAATCCAAACAGCATGATATAATTTTATGATTTATAACGAAAATACGGATGTAATAGGACGAAACGGCCGTCCAGTGCTTCCAAGTTTTCAATGGTGGTCTAACATCAATCGGTTCGTGATCTCAATCAAAAGCTTAACAATCTTTACAACCACTAAACGGATGATGTAATGAACTGATTGATGAATAATATCCCATGATAAAATATAGTCAAGTGATGACTACTCACGTAAGTCTTTAGTTGGATAGAATTAGAAGACAAGATAACTGACCAGCTTTTTCCTAACAAAATAACATCCCTACATATAAAATATTAAACACAGGAATAGACATGATCACAAGTGATATAACAAATAATTTATTGAAGGATATGGAAACCGTAAATCATTCAATACCCATTACAACTATTGTCTAACTATTGAGTTTAATTCTTAATCATTTAGATCATATTAGTTATCAATGTAGTGTTAATTGCCCCCAAATGCACTGGTATGGCCGAGAGTGGGGTGGACCCTTCTTCTCGAAATACTTTCACACGGCCACGTGTATACAGCCTCTGCCAGGGAAGTCCTACTGATCGCCTACTCGTGGCGGGGTTGTTGTTTACGAAATTAAGAGGACGAAAAGCGAATATCCGGAGCTTTAACCGGATTCCAAACCAATGGTGTACATAGGCTCCAGTATCCTGCGGGAACAAATGGTGTATGAACCAATTGTTGGCCACCGGCTACCATAGGAATGCATCTCCTCACGATGCTCCACTGCCTTGTGGGTTAGACTTTTAGGTCCATGGCTCAGGGTGTGGCCCCCTAAGAAAACCACCTGCTCCGGTCAGGGCACCTGGGCAGTATCCCAGCCCTCACACAAATCGAATGATCCATGTGGCGCATATGTATTTGGTGCCTCCTTGTACTAATGTTTATGTGTTTAAATGAATAATTCACTTTGTTATTAAAATTAACACTTAAATCATTGTAGGAAATGATCAACAATACCAGTTGATCAACTCCATTTGACGTGTAAATACCTTCCATATTTTATTTGACCTATTGAAAATATTTAGACATTAAAAAAACACCATTTCGGTATAAATAAAATTATTGACAACGAATGAATTACTCAAACTCACAAAGGTCGAGGTCAAATTAAATTTATATTGTCGTCATACAGATTGCTCAAACGTAAACTGTCTAGTAAAGTCTAAAGAATTAAATTACTAGATTGTAGACTTATGATTTCGATTATAAAATGTCATATTATTAAAAAAAAATAAGATCAGTGCAATTTTATGAGTTGAGTTGTGATGTGGCCAGTAGTCTAAATGGCTCGATATCTCGTGCACTATTTTGAGATGTATGGTTGTAGTTGGATGTAGTTAACAGGATACCTTTATTTACCTAGATTTCAGGTTTTTTGCCGCTCGTCAGTAAGGTGTACCTGTAATCTTGGAGGAACTGATGATCCCTGGCAGTGTAGAGTCACCTGAACTACTGGCTAAATTGCAACTCTATAGATAGTACTCAAACAGAACTAAGAAGAATTTGACAGACAAGATATTGATCACTACTCACTCAGTGACCCGTCAGTTGTAGATGCATCTCAGTTCTATAGGTAGTCACTCACATCCCGAATAGCTCTACGGTAGCATCTCAATTTGTAAAGCTGAATGACATGGGATCGAATCCCCAAAGAGCATCAGTCCCCCAAGATGATGCCTTTCTGATGCGCGCAAATAGTGCAAAACGTAAGTGAAGAGGGGTTTCCTGTCGTCCAATACCAATTTACATCTCAACGTCATGGGATTGTTCATTCGATCATCAGTGTATAATCACTCAAACAAAGAAAGTATACTTCATGTTTAAGTCAAAATGTTACCAAGTCTCAAATGACCAGAACAAATAATGTATGAATAGTATGCAAACAGACAATAAGTAGTTATAATAGTTTGTTCCTAAGTGTATCCGATATACTAACAAAGAAAATCTAGATATGAAGTTTAGCCTGAGGTTTATTGTGGTAAAGCTACTTATGAGTGATATCCGTTAGTATGTTAAAAAGTTGAGCATTAGAATAAATTGCTTTCATGAGATATCACTGAGGCGAACTCGGGACATTTACATGTATTCATTTTCAAAAAATCAATTTAATAGGTTAATTTTAGTAAGGAATTTTGTCAGGTGATATGCCTAATCTTGTTACATATACACAAGTCCTAACTTAAACTCCTCTGCGCAGAATCAGTAAGTGATGTTGAAAGTAAACACATTGATTTTAACAATGGAACTGATATGATGGAGGAATTTAATAGTTATTTTGATCATGTCATGAAGTCTGGTAGTCTGAACGCTAAACCAGACACTCGTTCGTTACACTAGATACGAAATAATTAGACCAATAGATTGGATCATGTCAGAGACAGATATACGATTTCCGAAGAAATTATTGAGAATCGGAATATAGGCTAGCCAATGCATTATCTAACACAAGTACTCTCAGTCCCCACACACAAAGAAAACCTATGTAGAAATCAGTGTTATATTTAAAGAGAAGTAATCCACACAACAGATTACAGTGGGCATATTTGTCTTCGTTTAGCAATCAATCAAAGCTAGATTTCACCAAACACATTAGGAACATAATTCAAACGACTATCATTTATCAAACCAAAGCCTGTTTTTGAATAACTTATTTATACACTCGACCTTTTATTTATTGGTATAAGAAGGCACCGAATACATATCCACCACACAAATCACTCGATATATGTCCGAGCTGGAATACTGCTAGAGCACCCAAACCGAAACAGGTGGTTTCCTCAAGAGAACACTCATTAAGCCCTTAACCTGAAGATCTAATTCACAAGGCAGTGGAACAACGTTAGGAAGTGCAGTCCCATAGTACCCGGTGACCAACATTACGTTCATACTTCAATTGGTCTCTCACGATCCTGTATTCCATTTGCACCAAGGGAATGTAATCAGGGTTTCGCAACTCGCATAGTTGGATCCTCCATATCCACTAACCCGGTTAAAGCCCCGGTCATTCGCTTTTCATCCTCTCAACTTCGTAGACAACACCTCTACGAGAAAACAATGAATAGGACTTTCCTGGAAGTGGTTTTATAAGTGTGGTCATGTTAGAGCATTTGGAGAGGGAGAGCTGACTCTCCCATACAGTATTAGGCTGCCCAAATTAAAATAGACTTTGAGAATGTCAAATCTACAATCTTCCGCTAGCATTATCATCTTCGGATCCTTGATCAAATTTGATCCAAGCAACAACTACGAATTATTTCAAGTGGATCGGATATATAAACAAAATATAATTCAAACTGAAACTAACATTGTGCAATATAATCTTTTTATTTTATTTACAATGATAATAAATGAAATTCACAATGAAGAAAGATGAGTGCAGAAAAAAATAATAAATAACAACTATTCTACTTTCTTTTAATATCATCTTATCATTATGTTTCTTCATAATATCATATCATTCCAATGAATAGAATGTTATTATGGTGAATAATGTGTATCAAGTGTATAAACAATGATTATAGTGTAATTAACAAACGGTCAATATTACGTATACTTCTAGAAAAAGAGTAAGAAAGAGAGAGAGAGAGAGAGGAAGAACAATAGTTAATCAGACTGCGGGATTGTGTTTCCAATTTTATTGGGAAAGAAAAACACAACACTTCATTAGATATCATTATCGGAGTGAATGGCCTGTTTATTCAATCTTGTTTAACTCGAATGGATTGTTCTTTTTTTTCTTTCGAATAAATATTCCATTAAGTTTGACAATTTAAAAAGCACATTGAATAATGATTGTTATATGACAAGAAAGTACGACAAATTTGTTTGTGAGATAGCAATTAGCAATATGTTTACTTTGATAAAGTTGTTATGTGAATTAATTTTGTGTTGGCGCTGAATGAAATACATAAATTTATAAATATCTATTTGACATTATGTAACTAAATGAGTTATAGTACAACTGTACGTTCATCCAATACACTTATATATATATATATATATATATATATATATATATATATATATATATATATATATATATATATATATATATATATATATATATACATTTATTTATTTATTACGAGTTAATAGGTATATTCATACGGAACTTCGATTATAGTTGATTCAGCTTGTGGTTTTAAATTAGGCTGATCAATACACCACTGATTAACTGGATCTTCATGGTCAGTGAATAATTTACATTCTTCTGTAGATACTGTATTTAAAATTTCAGTAGGTTGATAATTCTTCACTGAACTTGGTAACCATGACGGTGGTAATTGAATATCAAGATTAATTTCATCAGATTTACCATGAATTGATTGATTGTTTACAGAAGTCCAATTAGAATTTGTATGATATGTTGAACAGTCAGATTTCTTTTGTAAATTTGAACAGTTCTCGTCTACATTAGATTTTTGTTGGATTGTAGGAAGTGATGAAGACCATGAATTATGTGAACATTGTTCATCATTATGAATAATATTTTCAGAATAACTTTGTTGTTTACCATCAGAATATGGTGATGAAGATTTCGATGAATGAGTATTGCATTGAGAAAGGGAATGTGACGAAAGATTACAACTTACATTATTTGATTGTTCAGTTAATAAATGATTTTGAATATTATTAACTGGTACGTGATCTTCAGCTTGAACAAAAGTATTTGTATGGTGTTCACTGGTTAATTTAGGCGCAGTGTATGTTAAATATTGATGAGTAGAAATTTTAATAGCTTCATCATCAGTTAATTGATTCATGGATTCATTAGAATGAGGTGGAAATTTTGACTTTAAATATAACTCACAGCTTGTATTACTATTATTTAAAGGAAAAAATCGTTTATCATAATCATTAGTTCTTCCTGTGTTCTTCTGAAAGTTATTCATTTCATGTGTTCTATTTTTATTAAATTCTAAATCTTCATTTTGGTTGATTGAATGAAAATGTTGAGGATTTGACTGTATGGAATGTGGAATATGTGAATGATGACTATTGTATTCAATTTGATCGGATGACAATTTCGATGTGTCACCACAATTCAACGAATGTGAATCTTCTTCATAATCACTTCCCTAAAGATTAGTGGAAACAAAAAAGTAAGTATTTCTCATATGAAAAGGAATCATCGATTTTGAAAATAAAGTATAAATAAAGTGCAAATCATATTTAGAATATCTAGTCAAACGAGTTTTCATGAGTCGATTAGTTGTTTCATGCAAGAAATTCGATTGGAATAACTTTTTATTAGTCAGTACAGTGTTGTGGAGATTGTTGAATTTCAGTTAAATCATGAACCGATCAAATCTACGCAACCATGAGAAACCTGGAAACAATTGATGGCCGTTTCGTTATTGCATTAGACTCCTCAGCTATTCTCATAAACGAAGACAATGGAAAACTATCAAGCAATGTTGTGGATTAAGCAGAGTTAGCCATTAACACCGTTGAATACCAGATCAGTGGTCTACAGGTTGAGGGTACTGGTGCTACCGGTTCTGGGTTCGATTCGCAGATGCGAGGTAGCGGATGCGCAATGTTGAAGAGTTTCATACTACGACGAAATAACCGTCCACTGCTTACTAATTTTACCAGTTGTCTAACTTAGATCACTTCATGATTTAAAAGAAGCTTTATAATAACTATAAACGGAATATCATACATTAAACATTCAAAAAATTATTACAACAATCTTAGTTTTATAACAAATAGCTCATTTATAACAGTGCTAATACATATTTCGGTGGTAAATTAGACACACTCAAACATAAAATAAAATGGGCGGTATTTATATAATGAGCTTAAAACTCAACTGCTCTGACCCTACCTAGTTTTAACCATGTCGTATTTGGTTTCCAATCATAGTTTATAGGTATCCATAAGTCAAAGAACAAACAAAACAGTACACAGAACTTAATTTCTTTTGTATCGTTTGTTCGAATCTTCCCATTGATGTTTAGGACTACAATTGATCAGTCTTTTATTGGCACAAAACTTTGTGAAATCACTGAAAAACATTGAAGTGAGTTTAAGCCACTAAAAATTAATATATATTACTTAATAGTTTCAAATAAATTGAGCACTGGATAGAAGACTAATGATAAATACTATTTTCGGTTATTAATTTAGTCTTAAGAAGTGGCTTATACTAAGTTACGAAACGCCGGCAATACAATTTTTCTACTTATTGGCATATAAAAAAAGGTTTATTACATTTTAAGATATGCGGTGTTATCTATTCAAAAGTTTGTGTAATCTTAAGATTTCCATAAGTTACATCACCATTGACGATTTCCAGTCGACCCGAATGGCAAGTCAATGTAGGTCCTCCGACTCTTTATGAAGTTGAAAAAGCTGTAGGAAATCTGAAACGAGGGAGAGCAGCAGGCCCTGACAGGTTTACTCCTGAGATTTTTAAGGATGGTGGTCCAGTATTAGCAATGAGATTAACCGAAGTCTTAGGTAGAATTTGGGAACTGCACGTAATTCCAATTGACTGGTCTCAATCACTGATTGTACCAGTCTATAAGAAAGGACAAAAGTCCCCTTATGACAATCACAGAGGAATCAGTTTGACTAATATAGTGTCTAAAATATTAGCTTCAATAATACTTCGATGCTTAACTAAAGCTCGTGAAGAGCAGACTAGAGGAAATCAGGCTGGTTTTTGACCTGGACGTGGTTGTATAGATCAGATATTCACACTACGTCAAGTTCTAGAACATAGACACACATTCAGATGCCACACAATCGTAGTATTTCTCGACCTTAAGGCGGCACTCGACTCTGTTGATCATGAGGTTCTATGGCAGTGTTTGTCATTGAAAGCAGTACCAAAGAAGTTGTAGTGTCAGTTATTATGCCAAGCCCATATACCTTATTCAAGCTTTCGGGTCTCAACAAAGTACATTAACCTTATGAAGGCTCTCTACTCGAACACAACTGGTAGAGTGAGAGCTTATGGCGAACTGTCATCAGAATTGATTACCTCAAGTGGTGTTCGTCAGGGCTGTCCACTCTCTCCATTGTTGTTGAACTTTGTTGTTGACGTGCTTTTAGATATAACAGTCCTCATCTAAATTTTCAGGGCTTGAACGTCTACCAGGAGATTAACTTGTTGACTTAGAATATGCCGATGACGCTGAAAAAATGCAGAGTCTTCTGACCACTCTAAGCAACAATGCAAGCATGTTCGGGATGCGATTCTCCCCCTCGAAATGCAAAATGTTGCTTCAGGATTGGGTAACATCGACACCCGAACTAATGATAGGGAGTGAAGTAGTTGAGCATGTCGACCGCTTCACTTATCTTGGAAGTCTCAACAGCCCTTGTGGTCTGGTGTGTGACGAAATCTCAGCACGGATACAGAAGGCTCGACTAGCTTTTGCCAACTTGCGTCATTTATGGTGTAGGCGAGATACCCGTCTATCAACCAAGGGACGTGTTTACTGCGCAGCAGTTCGTTCCGTCCTACTTTATGTTATTGAAACGTGGCCGGTAAGAGTAGAGGATATTTGTAGGTTACTAGTATTCGATCATAGGTGTCTTCGAAACATTGCTCGTATATCCTGGGACCGTCGAGTAAGTAACACAGTTGTTAGGAAACGAGTACTAGGTAAGGATGGCAAATCAACTGATGACGTAGTGAAACTTCATCAGTTGAGATGGCTGGGACACGTGTTACGTATGCCCAATTACCAACTGCCTCGACGTGCGATGTTCAGTGGTATAGGAGTAGATTGGAAAAAAGCTAGTTGCGGCCAGACCAAAACATGGAACAAGTCCATGAAGTCACTGATAAATCGACTGAGTCATGTTGGTAGGTGCAGACTACCTGGTTGGGGACCGCGAGATGATAGCAACCGATGGTTAGAGACCCTGAATGACATGACTCGAAATCGTTTGCAATGGCGCAGGTGCATCCACTATTTGTGTTCTTCCAAATTCTAATCTTCTGAATTCTTCATATATATTTTTCCTGTTTCCAAATTTAGTTCACTGTATCATACTCCTTGAATAACATCTTCAAAACCTAATCTTTCCGATTACTGCTTAAATTCTTACTACCTCTACCACTATGGGATTTGAATTGACAACTGCATCTCTGTGCTAATGTGGTATGGCAACTCGAGCCGATGTACATACGTACGAAGTTCTACGTTGTTACTGACTGACTGACATCACGATTGCCCTCTTACGTGTGCGGTTTCTCATAACTGTTATAGTGGATTTATAATATGCATCAAACTACTATCCTAAATCAGTTTATGAATAATTATGATTGTTACTGTTGTTAGATTGTACGTTACGATAACTAAAATGCAAATTTGTAAACATTAATAACGATTTTGGTCATATTCCTAATAACTGTTATGTTCCTTGATAAGTACATGTAAGTCATTTTTATGAAATGCACATTTATATAGTTCAGTTAAAAAGCCCTTTCAGGTTTACTGCCTGTTTTAAACCCGATTTAGTTACCCCATTCCATAAAAATGAATCTTGCCGAAAATAAAACTCTAAGCAACTTAGAGGTACCAATTGGATGATACTATCCGACACTTAAACAAAAGTAGCTCAACGCTACATTTAAGCATATTAGTCAGCAATTGAAAGTAGCTCTATATTTACTTCAATTTCTATTTGTGACTAAATATAAGTAGTTTTTTATAGACAAAAAAATTCCTACCATTTGATCATCCTCAGGTGTATCATTCGTTGTTCCATTAAGAAATGCTGTAGGATCTTGTCCTTGACGTAGAATTTTCTTCAATTTAGAACGTTTATTTTGAAACCAGATTTTAACCTTTAAGTAGAAAAACGAACAGAAGTAAATAAAAAACTATATATATATATATATATATATATATATATATATATATATATATATATATAAATTAAATACATTTACTTATCTATTTATTGTTTCCTGAGTAACAAGTTATGTTTATCATTAGATTGGAATCCAAGTGTGCAGATGAAAAGCCTTGTTCAGTATTCAATATGAGTGAGATATCTAGCATTTTCAAGCATTTCTCCGTTCATTTAGTATGTTACTATCACACTAGTATGATTGATTTGCATGTTTTCTAATTGTTAATCTTTCATTCAATTAAAGTTCATTTTTAAAAACAATAGAATCAAAAAGAAAGAGTACAATCCAGTGAAAACTCATTTTAATAATTTGGCAGTAATGTATCCATTGTTGAAGATTAAAACTCCTTGTGTACTAATTAACACTAGGTTATAATTAGCTTAAACAACTGTTAAATGTTCAATCATATATTTAACTACTGATGACACATACATAGAGGATTAATAACAATCAGAATAATTAATCAATCAAGTACACTGAATTCGGTGTTCATTACATACATCTGTGAAGATTATGCGGGCTCAAAATGTATGTTTGTGATTTTAAAGAACATATTCTAGCATATTAATATGATCAAAGGGTATATATACATATATTCTTATGAGTAAATCCTCTCAGCAGTTGATTGATTCGGGGACAAATTTTCTCCGATCAAATATTTTTTTAACTCACAGTTAAAAAGATACAACTATCTTACCACCTACCCAGTCACCTAATCATAGTCTTTTTCAGTCTCTTTTACTATCTATCACTAATAAAAACAATTGATGTAATTCATTTGAGTATATATTACTGTTTTACAGTAGCATAGTGTCATAGAGTAAGTACAATGGGTCAAGGTTATATGTACATATATGACATGGATATGAATCAATTGTCTCTGCTATTTGTAAAATAAATCAAAGTCCTCTTGTTAATTAGTATTTTTAAGAACATTGATTGAATATTTAACCAAACTATTAATGAATATCAAAGACATTTAAAAAGTTGTTTCATCCTAATATAAGACCCATTAAAAATCTGCGGTCAAACATCATAACCAATATGTTATCTATAAACTAATAATTCGTCAACACTTCCACTTGATGACAACACATCGATATATCACAGTCAGAAATGTTACCACCGAGCTACTCAGGCCGTAGATCGAATTGTAGTATACGATCAACGCTAAGAAGTATTCGACATAGATGATATTGGTCCATATCTAGTGGCCGATTAATTGTATGTATCAATTTATTCCTTATAGTTAAGATTTGTTCACTTCATAACATTATATTAAATGAACTATTAATCTTTACAGTAATGTACGAATGTAGTATTCCTTAATTCGAACATTAAGGTGTCATTCTGAACAACAACAAATACCAAGTATTTCAATGAATTTATAGTGTATCTATCATTACCTGGATACAATTTATGACATATAGAGTTTTTGAAGCATTTCTTATATTACTGTTGAGATTATGCAAATTTAATTGGTCAGAAAGGCTCGAAATAAATGATGTGCACAATGTCAATCAACTCAATAAAAATTTTAATCATTTATATAAGGGGATTTGTGAATATTGCAGAATTTTCAATTTAGATTAAACTGACTTTACCTAAACCAGCGCTGGAGACAAGTAAGCACTGAATGGTCATTTCGTTGTAGTATGGATATCCGTTACAGTGGGCATCCACAAACCCACGCGTTAGGATCTAACCCAGAACTGTCGATCTCACGTGTGAACACAACCTGTAGACCACTAATCTGATATCTAATGGTATTAATGTCCAGCTTCAATTAATTTATGATATTGTGCAGCCCTCATCCACTGCCTGTGATAAGTAGCTGTTTCAAATACGACATGGTTGAGGTAATGGATCAGTGTTGCCTAATATCGTGAATTTATTGAAGTTATACATTCAAACTATTAAGTGTCAGCTCAGGTAGATCAAAGGTTTTAGTTTCAATTTCCTAGGTGTGGGGTCGTAAATATATACTAGAACGGAACAACCATCCAATGTTTCCAGATTTTCAATTATGTTCTAAATAAGATCAATTTGTAACTCAAACTATGAAAAATTAAATCAGCTGGCAATAATCTTCTTGACAATAAAATGCCTTTTAGTCCTAACAATACCTTATATCTTTTTTAGAAAACCCACATTATCACTCCATAAAATTCAAATAAACTTTGTTTAAGTTCGATAGTAACTAACGACGGAAACGAGAATGTGAATTTTATTATATTTAGATACGCCTGCATCACAGCGTCGATGTTTACGTTATGGTTTATTATTATTGTTATTATTGGCTTTATTATATTATTTTATATTTCTGGTACAATATCGAATTCTTAGCAAAAAGTATTTCAACAAGTTTCCGTTTCTTATTTCTCAATCTATCCTTGAGATAAATATTGAGTGGTCGCTAGTTAGATGTTAACAGTTCATGAATCAACATATTGCCAGCAACCATGAGCTCTTATGTAACTTGTATAATGAAATGTCGTAAACTTGTCACAAACTCTCTTGAATAGGTTATGCAACCAAATAGGCATAATAATGTGTTAAAACAAACAAGAAAACAGATAACTTGTTGAAATATCCAGATGGTAGGAACAGGTAGCTCATATATTCAAACAGGTCATCCAAGTACCTTTTCCTTGGAACATGAATGCATTCACCACTGAACTACTACTGAATTCAGATAATCACTAGCTTATACAATGGATATTCATATTAAAAGTTACAAAATTTAAACAAATGTAAACCCTTTCTCGAAAATTTAATTTATTATTTTATAAATATTAACCACTTAAATAGTTTTTTTCTTTGTGTTGGTTTCTCAAATGTTTCTTGCTTGTGTGAAATCACTGTAAACTGTATTCAAGTTAACGAAAATGATAAAAAATAACTCCGTATAAAAAAATTATTTTTATTTTATTTCTATGATAATTAACCCTTATCATTACTGATTTTTTGCGTACGTACTTAGGTATGTATGTGTATATATGTGTGGGGGTGGGGGTGGGATGGTGGTGGTGGTGGTGAGGAAGTGTTATGTATGTGCGCAACAATATAAAAACTAAGATAATCTATTAATATATTCCTTTTCTCTCTATTTTGAAAGTATTTCGGTTACTGTCCTGTTTGTATGTATGTTATTTCTGTGTTTTCCATATTCCATAATAAATTATTATATGAGTTATTTTTTTATTTTAAAAAATATCAAAAAGATAATTGCTCTGTTCATTTTTCACTTCTTCAATTTATATTCCAATGAAACAAGCAATTGATGACAATGAACTACTCATTGAGAAGAGAAGTAGCCTGATTCACTTCTATCCTCTTATCATATGAATATATATAACGCCTCTATTACAAGTCATTCATGCACACATACATGAATCTATAGATAATAATGATATATGAATGTATAAACATTTTTTTGTCTACAATCTACAAGTTGATAATCTTAATCATCTTAGATAAGTATATCGGTTCTTATTTTAATTGTTCACGTGGGTGTATGTATGCATAGAAGAGAAAAAAGAGAGAAGGAGAGAAAGATAGGTAAGGGATAAAGGTAAATGAAAAGAAAATTAACCTGAATAATTACTTTGCCAATATCTATAATAATTAAGTATATGTTGAAAATGAAAGAAAACCCCATGTGATGTCATACCATAAATATTATTTCATTTTAATCATCTAGATAGTAGAAAAGATGAAGAAAATGAAAAGGTCATATGGTTCGAATCTTACGGGGCGATATCATGCATGCGCACTACTGAAGATTTCCATACTAGGATGAAACGACTGTCCAGTGCATTCAGCTTTTCTATGGTGGTCTAGATTCAATTGACTCATGAATTCAACTATTGAAATTCATATACGGATACATTATTCAGTTGAACAATAGACGAAATTTTTATTTGAACATGGGGATTTATTGAAAACCTGGGAGAACTGGACAGCTGTTTCATCCTAGTATGGTACTCTTCAGTAGTGTGTATCCATAATACCGCCTCACAAGTTTCGGACCCAGAACCTATCAGTCTTGCAAGCGAACGCCTAACCTCTAGACCACTGAGCCGTCTGGCAACCAACGGTGTTATTATCTAAATTCAACCAATCTACGGAATTGAGCCACCGTTCACCATTGTCTTCAGTGAGTTACTATCTCACAACAAGCCTGGTTGAACTCTACTGGTCACCGCTTCTCACTAGAACTCCAGGAACTACCTGTTCAAGCCAGTCACTAGTGAGTAGATGATTATTATCGGAAGGGGAATTTCGTGGAGATTTTAGTAATTTTCATGAGTAATGAGTTAGTTGAAGCTAGACCACCATGGAAAACCTGGAAGCACTGGATGGATTGAAAACTATACACGAAATCAAATTTAATGATTGAATACAATTAGTATCCTCATTTCTAAATATATCATTAATGAACCTATTTCGCTTTTCGAGTACTTTTCATTGGTTAATATCAGTTTATAATAAGAATTAATGTTTAATATATCAAAAAATACTAAGGTCCATTTCAGATGTATTAAAACGAATTCAGAATAATGGTCCAGTGGTTAAGACATTCTATTTTAGCCCTCTAAATAACGATTTCTAACGTCGTTTAACCTATTTCATTTTAAGGAGATGATTTATATCATTGACTGTTATACTCAAACTGTTACTCAAAGGCAATACACAAATTTATGCCCAATAAATAAATTCCTCTTATTGAACATTCATTTAAATGGTCCCCAATGTTTGATATATAGTTCATTCATGATAGATATTTCCTGATATTTAACTATATATTCAAATTCATGTTTGTGTAATCTATTTTAATCCAGACTTTTTTACATAAAGGTTTGTGATCCTACACACACATCACGTGTACTTAACAGAATCGATGACACAACAGACGAAAGTTGAATCGCTTACCTATTATGACATCACTTCTGATCCATAAATTGTAATCATATTCGGTTTTTCTTTGGAATAAAATTCAACATATACAGATTTTCTAGTGATATGTAAGAATATAGATTTATTTTGTAACTATATTCTAATGGGACCCCTCTGGGGCTACTGTCAGTTACAAGCCCGGATAGAGGAGGAAGTCCTGTAGAAACGCTAACCAGAGAAAAAACAATATTCTAATGGAGGCAGTCAAAAGTAACGTAGACTATAACATATTTGTACAGTCGTTTAATTTGACTCATTATTGATCATTGGCAGTAATATAATAAATGGATTTAGTTCAGAGTAACTCATGATGTGAAAAAAACGTTATGCTCATCAGTATAAAAGTAAGATAGACAATACTCTCAAAATTGAAAATCCACAAAATAACTGATACTATTAGCAAACAGTTGATCTTACAAAAAAATACTCTAATTTGATTATGTAGTCAAAATTTCGAATACTGACTGCAAAAATCTTGACATGAACAGGTAAATAGTGAACTGGATGTCATAAGCAAGACCATAAAGATGGTAGATGATACCGGAAATAAATCCAAGTGATAACTGAACACATAAGTTTTTAAATTATTTATTTACAGTTAAATTAACATCCGAATTTGTTAAACTGGAACTAAACAGTACTTGACACTAATTAATTTAATGGTAATTTATTGTCTGAATATATGTTTGCAATATTATAGAATACCATGACCATAAACAACAGCTTTAATGAATTCACTAAGTTGTATAATCAGTCATAGTCCCCAACTGCTGTGCTGAGGCTGAGGTTGGGGCGAGTCAGCTCTCCCTCTTCAAATGCTCTCACATGACCTCATGTAAACAATCACTTTCAGGGAAGTCCTACTCATTGCCTTCTCGTGAACGGTGTGTTATCTACGAAATTGAGAGGAAGAAAAGCGAATGTCTGGCGCTTTAACCGGGTTGATGGATATGGAAGTTTCAGCTAAGGGAGTTGCAAAACTCTGATTTCAAACCCTCGGTGCATATAGGCTCCAAGATCTTGAGAGAGTAATTGGAGTATGAAGGTATTGTTCGCCACCTGGTACCATGGACCTGCACCTCCTGACGTTGCCCCACTGCCTTGTAGGTCAGACCTTTAGGTCGAAGGCTCCGGGTGTGGCCCCCTAAGAAAACCATCTGCTTAGGTCTGGATACCCATATAGTTTCACAAATCATGTGAATTGTGTAGTGCATATGTATTCGGTGCCCCTTTGTACCAATATTTATGTGTTCAAATAAATAAATAAAATAATTGGTCATTCTTATTTGCAATAAACGATTGGAAAAAATCAGTTTCGTATTTCACTCACGTTCCAATCAATCAAGTACATAATCAACATGTCACTGAGAATTTAGTCTCATAAATAATAAAATCACCACATGGGTGAACGAATTATGAAGTAATAATTAATATGACCAAATTTACAGATATCCAATCATTCAATTGTTACACCAAACCCCACTTTACCTATTTTCTTTCTTATCTCTTAACATTCAAACGTAAGTAATGTCCTTAAGATAATGAAGAACATTTATAGCTCATGATGATGTTTATGAGAGTGTTATGTTGTTGGAGTTGAATGGTTTAATCGTTCCATATTAAAACAAAACGGATGTCCAGTGCCTCCAGGATCTCCGTGATAGTCTAACATTGATTGGTTCATGATTTAAATAATTACTCGACCACCCTATACTGATAATTATCATGTGCTCAAAAGTGACTAGCTTCTAGAAGTGATTTTCGGAATTATAGTGAGAAGCCGTGACTAGTGGAATACAACTGAATCGACAGTTAGCCACCAAAGATAATGGAAAGTAGTTGCACAATGTTGTGGCTAAATGTAAACATTAACACTGTTAGATGCCATTTCATTGGTCTAGATGTTAAGTGTTTGCGTAAGGTTGTAGGACCTGGGTTCGAGTACAGTATGAGGGATCATGAATACGCACCACTCAAGAGTACTATACTAGGATCAAACGACTGTTCAGTGCTTTTAGGTTTTTAATGATGATCTAACATTCATAGGTTCAAGATCTCAATATAAACTTATAATTGATAAATGCATTACATCATATTAACATTGACTAAATAAACCGGATAATAAGGTCGATTTTCAATTTTTTTCAAGTTCAAAGTTGAATGCTTGGATTATACAACCACAGATTTCTAAACAAATCAGTTGTATTTATGATGACAGACCATAAACGTTTAGTACTATTTACATTCAAATAGTTCATGATCTAAAAACTATTTCTCTTCTGTAAAAGGAATATAACAAACATGCACACACACACACCATTTGTTTGTTGCAACATTATTCATAATATTTTGACAGTAAAAAAAGAGAAAAGAATTTTTATTATGACTGTTGATTATTTCTCATATTTCGTGCATTTCATCAATAACATTGTTGTTGTCATCCCGGTCATCATCATCATCATCTAGATGATGATGTCGTGACAATTCAAAGAAGAATGATCTTACTTTAAAGTAACATATTTAATTCGACATTAACTAAACAGATGGTCAAACATATGTATACTTCCACTATAAATCCTTCACAATTATTCATGATTACATAATTATGGCAGTTCATTATCAATGTTAACCGTCAACTCGTTCTTCATATACAAATTATGTGTATTGTAAAGAGTAGGATAGTTTATACAATCAATCAATAGTATTACTGAACTCATTCGAACTTTTTTTTTGATATACACATTTAAACAGTTGTGTATACACGTGTAGGTGAGGATGATTATTGATGAAGCGAATAAACAAGTTCCTTTTAATCCGATCAATCAATGTTCATCTCACAGGTAGATCAAAAATTGATTAAGATTTAAGTTGATTAGTACAGATTTTTTTGAAATGAACTGTAGAATGAAATCTTTATTTATACTCGTATATTGATTAACTTGTCTAATTATTATGTGGATAAATAAACGATTGGTTGATGTTAGAAACTATCACCATTGGATGCCGGCTCAGTGGTCCAGTTGGTTAAGCGTTAGCGCGCGAGACCGAAGGCCCTGAGTTCGAATCCGGCGAGCGGGATCGTGGATGCGCACTGCTGAAGAGTCCCACAATAGGACGAAACGGCCGTCCAGTGCTTCCAGGTTTTCACTTGTGATTGTCTAACATCAATTGGTTCATGATCTCAATAAAAAAAATAAACGATTGTCTAAGGATGGTTAAATTACGTTTCAGTCTAGATAGTTGGGTAATTCCGCAAACATACATACATTTAAAGAAATATGAACAAAACTGATATTACAAATCACTTTTTGTTACTTGAGTTTCATTACATTAAGATAATCCTAGATAATGGAAACAATATATATATATATACATTGATAATCTATCCATCATTTCATGTTAAATCACATTCACTGAGAAGTAGCATGATACATTTAAACAACTCAATCTAAACATGATGCCTGAAATTATCATGCTATTCCATAACAAATATTCAGTGTTATCATCAATGATATTTACTCATAAATTTGTTTTACTGGTCAGTCAACATAAAAAGCATACTTCCTCGATCTCAAGTAAAACAAAAACGGGTTGGTAAACTCTATTAAAAAAATTATATATGCCGGCCCAGTGGTCTAGTGGTTAAGCGCTCTCACGTGGGACTTGTGGGTCCTGGGTTCGAATCTCTTTGGGGGTACGGGATTGTGGATGCGCACTGCTGAAGGGCTCCACAATGAGACGAAACGGCCATCCAATGCTTTCAGGTTTTCTATGGTGATTTAGCTTCAATTGACTCATGATCTCAATTCAACATGAATGATTTACAAAAGTTTTGTTATTGTTTTCATTTCATAATGAAAATAATTCTCATATATGATTATGATATAATCAAGATAAATACTTTCTTTAGAAGATATATACTTACTTGTGTTTGTGTTAAGCCAAGTTGTGATGCTAAACTTGCACGTTCTGTTAAATTTAAATACTGGGAATGAACAAAACGTCGATTTAACATTTGCAATTGCCATATGGAATAAATTGTACGCGGTTTACGTATTTTTTTATTCTTTATGATAATATTATTATTATCAGTATTATTATCATTATTATTAATATTACTATTGTAAACATTTATTTGTGATACATTATCGTCTTGTGGTGAAATGGAATTTGTTTGAGAGAAATAATCCATTGATGATGAGATTGGTGAATGCTGTGATTCATCGTCTAAAGTAAGAAATATGTGTAAAAGAGAAAGAGATAAATAGTTTAAAATATATAAGTTAATATTGAACTGGAAAATCTCCAAAAAATTATGTAACACTTAAGAGTTAATTTCATTAATGAATCAATTTTGAATGATGGAATGGTTACACAATGTAGATTATTATATTCTAATTCAATATTGTACTTGTATCGTGTTCAATCACAATACAATGTGATCATGAATTCGATGAAAAATATATAGGGACTATGAGGAAGTTTATTTATTTATTTATTTAAACACATAAATATTGGTACAAGAGGGCACCAAATATGTATGCGCCACACAAACCAAGAGAGAAAAAAAGAACAATAACGAACAGATTAGTGTAAGGTAATGTAATAATAACAATAGTAATAATTGGAGAAACGGAAAGGTACAATCAGAAGAAATCTTTCAGCTAAAGAAGATACAACCACTTTTCATGAAGAAAGTAAAAGAAGGTTACAGTAAGATCACCACTGGCTTCTACCGTGAGCCATATCTGGTAACGTCTCTAGCCATTGTGTCGCACCATCTCTAGAACCCCAGCCAGAGAGTAGTGAAGGACCAACACAAGCCACGACATCATGTCATACACTGACCAGCTCTCCGCTTCTTCCAACCAGTTCCAGAGTCGACAAATAATGCACGACGTGGAATCCTCTGGGACGACATTCGGAGAACATGTCCAAGCCACCGAAGTCGATGTTTCAAAATGGTGACACCAATTGCATTATCGTCATTATGCCCGAACACACGATGCCGAACCTCTGCATTACCGACATGGTTTTGCCACTGGATGTCAGCAATCCTTCAGAGACAACGATGATCGAACACAGAGAGTCATCTAACATCTTCAACTCGAAGAGGCCAGGTTTCACAAGCATAGAACAGAACTGCTCTCACCGACGCGTTGTAGATCCGACCTTTTACAGACAGATTGACAACACGAAGGCGCCAAAGATGGCCCAGATTGGCACAAGCCACTCTGGCTTTCACTGTACGTGCATTGATCTCATCAGTCACGCCACCACCAGCACTTATGCAGCTCCCCTGATACACGAACTTCTCGACTACTTCTATCTGCTCACCATTCAGAGTGAGTACAGGATTAGAATCCTGCCAGTTTTGTGGAAGTACTTTGCACTTAGGAGGTGCAAAGCACATACCATACCTACGGACACTGATTGCCAACTGATTAAGTGCAGATTGCATGACTTGGGCATTATCGCACAGTAAGACAATATCATCGAGAAGTTACAAATTATCACTGTATTATCAATTCTTCAAACTTTAAAAATTTCTGATAATGTATAATTATATGATATCAGCAATTTAAAAATCCCCATAAACTATTCAAAAATGAAGAATATTTGAGCGAACAATTGTTTTCAATAACTTCATCATTATACTCTACCATTTATAACACATGACATTGTCAAATTCATCAATATATGCCTTAGTTTTGGCATTTGTAAAATGTCATAATTATAGACTTATAACTGTACTAGGACCAAACGGCCGTCCAATGCTTCCAGGTTTTCCATGGTGGTCTAGCTTCAACTGATTCATGATTTCAACCAGTGAAATTTCTAAAATCTCCACAAAACCCATTCTGATTATAACTGCAGAGCTTGATGATGAAGTTATTGAAAACAATTGTTCGCTCAAATATTCTTCATTTTTGAATTATATTATAAATAGATTATTGAAGCAATAATATGGTCAATGTTCATTTTACTTCATTGAGAAATTCATAGTAGAATCAACTTAATTCTGACACATTTGGGTCATTATTTAAGGGGTACGCTGAACTTTACACTTGTATACAACAAATCAATAATCTAACATTAAAAATCTAAATTAGTCAATCAGTCAAAGTTAATAGTAGAATCTGACATGTGTACATTGGTTCAAATTGCCATGCACTATTAGCATAGCAATATAATATTGTTCAGGCAAATCTCATAGTAGTAGATGTAGCAACAATATTAATAACGAAAAAAGTGATTAGACATCAGAGATACGATTCGAAAAAAATATTAATTGCTGAAGTATTATCAGGAAGTTAGGAAACTTAAGACGTAAAGGAAGACGAAAATACTTGAACACTAAATAAAACAATACCTAAATTACTTAACTATAGATTACAAAGTACTTCAATATCTTGTAACTTGTTTAACCAAGTATATATTTATATGCTCAACTTTGTGATCACATTGTATGAGGTTTACAGATCTTTCCTAGTTGTTCAAACCAATGTAGGTGTAGATAAGATAATGTTTTAGTGATTAAAGCACTTAACTTTTAGACATTAAGTTGTATGTTCAAAACCTATTGCCTTTATTTCTGTATAAATAGTTTACAATGTCACTATAAGTCAAGAATCTTTCAACCAATATCAAAGTGAGAATCTTCAATACCAACCTCAAGGCAGTTCTACTGTACGAAGCTGAAACTTCCAGAACTACAACAACCACCATCAAGAAGATACAAGTATTTATAAACAGCTGTCTACGTAAGATACTCAACATCCACTGGCCGGATACCATCAGCAACAACCTTCTCTGGGAGAGAACAAACCAATTTCCATCTGAAGAGGGAATTAGGAAAATACGATGGAAATGGATAAGACATACATTGCGGAAACCATCAAACTGCATCACGAGGCAAGCCCTAACTTGGAATCCTGAAGGGAAGCGGAAAAGAGGAAGGACAAAGAACACATTACATCGAGAAAAAGCAGATATGAAAAAGATGGATAACAACTGGAAAGAGCTAGAAGGGATTGCCCAAGACAGGGTTGGATGGAGAATGCTGGTGAGCAGCCTATGCTCCTCGACGAGGAGTAACAGGCGTAAGTAAGCAAGTAAGTATAAGTCAAGAATAAGTCTGTACATGAAAAAAGAAACAATAATAAAGTGAACTAGGGTTTGGACCTACTAGACCATAAACTTATATATACGTCTAATTTAATTTCAAGACTAATTATCTGAATAATAAATAATTTGAACATCTTCATATTAGATCCAGTAACAAACAAGATTTCCGTAAACAATGTGTTTTTAGTAATTCCACTTTTAAGACCTACAGTTACAAAACAATGAAGTGTGTAATACTAATAGTTGAAATCATGAGCCAATTGAAGCTAGACCACTATAGAAAACCTGGAAGCACTGGACGGCCGTTTCGTCCCAGAGTGGGACTCCTCAGTAGTGCGTATCCACGATATCTCCCTCCCGCGAGATCCAAACCTCGGACTTATCAGTCTCGCGCCAGGCGCTTAACCAACTAGACCACTGCGCCGGGATTCAGTGGTGATAATGTCTAACTTCAGCACTGCTGAGGAGTCCCATACTAGGACCAAACGGCCGTCCAGTGCTTCCAGGTTTTCTATAGTGGTCTAGCTTCAATTGGCTTATGATTTCAATCTGTGAAATTTCTAAAATCTCCACAAACCCCTTCTGATAATAATATATATGATCAAGTTATCGGGTGGTTGATTTTAATGAATTGATCTGAAGTCAATTATAATAGTGTCTTTGTGAATTGTTATCTTGTATGGAAAGGCTATCATTTAAATTTCTAAAATCGGCATGTTGCTGTTTATTTTATGCAACATTAATTAGTATTTCGCTATATGAATCAGCAATGTAGTTGTTATGAAGCGATTAACTTAGGTCTTCCAACACACCTAATCATGGATTCTGGGAGCTGAGAAATAACACTAGTATTTACTTAATTGCACACTATTAGATCCCAGTTCAGAAGTTTAAAGATTGAGTTTTCGTGCGCGAACTTGAGGGTTCCGGGTTGGATTTCCGTCTATTGGGTCGTGTATGTATGCTAACAAAGAGACCCATGTTAGTAGGACATGACCATCCAGTACTTCTAGAATTTCAAAATGTTGTTTGGTACATGATCTTAACAAATTCCGAGTGCATTAAACCTCTATATTTAATATGTTTCGGAAATAAGTCTATTGAAAAATATTTTTATTTGACTACGTGTTACTTTGTACACTAGAATTAACAACTATTGGAGAATTTAATATAATGTCCAAATTTCATGAACTAATGTTAATAAATGAATTATTGAAAAACTTCTGAACGTCTGATATGTTGTGTACACATTCTTGTCGTATTCTAAATTAGGATTTTTAAAAAGGAACACACACCCATTGTTCAGTATTAGGATCCATTGTACTGCAAAAGGTGGGGAGAGTTAGCTCTCTTATTGCATTATGTATATATCATCTATACGAGAGTAGTCATATTCACTGCTTTTACACGACAAGAGTGTTTTTAAGGAAGTTAGGAAAGAAGATCCTACTAGAAATTCGTTAAAATTGTAGTACCAATTGAGCTCACATTTTAATTTCAACTTCTTTATATAAGGTATGAAGATTTCACATAATCGATAATAAGTATGTAATCTTACGATTTTCATGCTCATTTCACACACGCGCATACATTCACGAGTAGACAGACTTAACGAGTTTCATTGTCCTGATACATTAACATAGTTACTATTTTGTTAAATATGACTCGTGGCGATAAAAATTAACAGAGAAAGGGAAAATAAGTTTTTACAACTAAATACATGAACAACCATTATCCAGATTGAGAACGCAACATAAAAAGAAAATGAAAAAGATTTAAGTTGAAGCACTTCTATACAAAAATGTGAAAGTGTGTTTATATGTATGTACGTATATGTGTGTGCATACATGAATTCCGATTTCGTCTTGCATTGATAGTAAAAGCCAATTATATATATATATTGACTCCACCTCACCCTCAGGGCTACTCAACAGATGATTTTTTTATCTTTCCCTTAAAAAAGTCTGTCGTTTTCAACTTTTCTTTAGAAAAAATTGTTAATAGATAATTATAGGCTAAACTTATTTCTAGTCATCTTTTTTTTACCATCATCACACTCTATGCAGCCATCCCACCCCCACTTAGATGTTTCCACACAT